AGTTGTGGAGGGAGAAGTCATGGCCCTTCAAGTCTGGAGCTTCAAGTCTGGTCACTTTGCAAGAAAGTAAAGAGGACGGACGTCACCACCGCCTGGCTCACTTCCAGCTTTTTTATTCAGTCAGGAACCCCAGCCAGTAGAATAGTGGCCCCCAGGGTTTAGCTGGGTCCTGCCGCTTCAGCTAACCTAGTATAGACAACTCCTCACAAGCGTGACCAGTGTATTCCAGGTGACCGTAGACCCCGTGAGGTTGACAGTATTAACACAGAGGCCTTCCTGGGGACTTGGACGTGTAAAGGCCTCCAGATTTGCATATTGTTCTTCGGGAATCCACCTGATTTGGCTTCATGCTAATTCAGAGTCCCTGAGCAGTCCGCTTGGATCCTAAGGGGGTGGCGAGGCGGAGGTAGTGGTAGCTACGTATGAAAACTGTAAGAGCAGCTCTTTCTGGGTGTGATGGGGGCACACCTGTAATTCCAGATTTTGGGAGGCTGAAGCAGGAGGATTTTGAATCCAGTCTCAGCTGTGCTAAGGAGATTCTGTCTCAACAACCAAAAGCCTTCTGTGGGGTCTCATGCAGCCCCTCACTACGTAGCTGAGGATAGCCTTGAACTGATGAGTGTGTCTGTGCGTGTCTGTGTGTGTCTGTGTCCCATACAAGTCACTGAAGGTCAGAGGATAACCTCTGTGCCTCAGTTCTCCTTCCACTGTGGTCCTGCAAAACAGAGGGCAGGTCATCAAGCCAGTGTGGAAAGTACTTTCACTCACTTGAGTCACTTTTCTTGCCTAACCTTGAACTTCTAGATTTCCTGCAGCCACCTGTTGAGTGCTCAGGTTACAGGTGCTGGGAATGAACCTTTATAAGGCATTCTAGGTGTTAGGATTTATATAAAAATGATGCCACGCATATACAGCAGATCTCATATAAAAGTGTTTATTCAGGGTAAGGGAAGAAGAAGAGAGTTAGGGCCTCAGTGAGCCATGAGGGCAGAGAGACAGAGAGACAGATATGGGGGTAGGGCGGGTGCCCAGACAGAAACAAAAGCAGAGAGAACAGAGTGGAGAGAGCAAGAGAAAGAGAGAAGGTGGGAGTGGCAGATGGGTTATATCAGAAGCACCTGGCCCAGGTGACATCATAGGACACAGGTACTGACATAGGACATTGTCAGGACCCTAAAGGCCCCTAAGGGCAGGCCAGTTGAATTGCCTGCACAACATGACATTCCTCCCTTTTTGTTTAATTAAAAAACGAGGTGCTAGGGAGGGATAGCGAGGCATGAGGACGTTGGGCTGCTTCTCATGCAAGGCAAGTTGAAGTATGTAAATGTAGGTTTATTGGAGGCAGCTCTTGGCTGCCATGCAAGGGGGTAAGAGCGGGGGAATAAGAGCACCAAAATGTTCAGATTACATGGTGAAGAGAAGGGGAAGCCCCTGCCCTGAAAAGTTCAGGGTAGGGGGTGGAGTTGCCAGCCATGCCCAACAGCAGATAGAACTGAGGAATGCTGGGGAACCTGGAGTTGTTGGTCCTGGGCCTGAAGCACACCATTCCAGCCTTTTGTTGATAATAAGTGGATAATGGGTGAAGAAATCAACCATTTTGGATACTTCCTGCTGGCTCTGGGGCGGCTAAAAGGCTGAAATGTTGGCCGAGTGCAGGACGGGCAGACTGTCCAGGATCTGTGAGAACATCCATGGCTGAGAGCGAAAATGCAGGTCTGGCTTGACGAAGTCTTAGAGGTTAGACTGGAACACGTGGGCAGCTGCTTCAGTGCTGTCTTGGATGTGGGAAACACCTGGGTCTGGCAGGATAGTGGCAATTATAAGGGCAGAGACAAAGTTAAGTGGGTTAAGGAGAAGATCCCTTTAGGTGTACATTTGAAACTTTTGGGAGAGCGAGCAGAGATGAAAGAAGAGACTTGAATGTGGGAACTTCCGTTTACCCGATCGCTGGCAGTAATTATAAAGGTCTGGTTTTGGATCTGCCATCTAAGGAATACTGAGACCAAGTTTGGTTGCAGAGGCCTGTAAACTCGGCAGCCCTGTAACTAGGCACCAAGTGAAAGAATCTGAAGTTGTCCAGAAGACTTCCCAGAGGAGAATCTGAACCACTGTTAGCATCTATATAAAAATGATGCCATGCATTTACAACAGATACTGAAAGAGTTTATTCGGGGCAAGGGAAGCAGAAGGGAGTCAGGGCCTGAGTGAGCCATGAGGGCGGAGAGACAGAGAAAGACGGAGATATGTGGGGAGGGGGCACCTCGACAGAGAAACAAAAGCAGAGAGAGAGAGAGAAGGTGGGAGTGGCAGACGGATTATGTCAGAAGCACCTGGCCCATGTGATGTCATAGGATGCAGGCCCTGACATAGGATGTTGTCAGGACCCTAAAGGCCCCTAAGGGCAGCCCAGTTGACAGTAGGTGCATAGAGTACAGTGAGCTACGTCCCCCACTGAAACACAGGTAAGCACAGCTCTTAGACTACTGCTACCTACTGAGGTGGCTGGCACCTCAGTGCTAGCTCAGTGTTTCCCTGAGTCCTGGCTAAAACGGCCTCTAGTGCTTTGTTACCTTTTCCCTGATGATGGGGACAAAACTTAAAACTTGGACCACCGTGCTAAATTAGGACCCCAAGTTGAGCCCCAGGTCCCTTCCTGTTCTGAGGACCCTGGAGTCTTGAGTCAGGGCAGGGCTGCCTCTGCCAGCGTGACCTGGCACTCTGGTCACTCCCAACTACAGCACCGGCTCTTAACTGCATAGCTGACGGCAGAGCAATGTAGGACAGGAGAGAGGACAAGAAACACGACACAGTCAAAGCAGGCAGCTTCTATGTTTGTGTGTCGGGTGGAAAGTCGCTCAGCCGGGTACCCTGGAGTCCCAGAGTTGTCGGTAAGTTAAGGTCTCTGAGGAGGTGATAGTTATGATACAGTCCAGAATGAGGACTGTAGTTTTATCTTTGGGACAAGGTCTCCTGTGGTCCATGCTGGCCTGGAGCCTTGTAGAGGGGGTCTAGAAACTATCATCCTGCCTCCATCCCCAAGTGCTGAAATTAGAAGCATGCCCCACCATACCTAGTTTTACGTGGTGCTGGAGACCTAGCCCAGGGTTTTGTCCATGTTAGGCAGTCAAAACTGAGCTACATCTCTAGCCCTTTTGTTGTTGCGGAGGTAGTTACGGCTGGCCTGGAACTCACTCCATAGACCAGGCAGTCTGGAGGCAATCCTCCTGCCTCTGCCATCGGAGTCCCGGGACCTCAGCCAGGTTCCAGCAGGGTATTTCTAACTACATTGCCTCTTCAGCTGTTGATTTGTGGATGGGGTGTCCCAGTTCATTGGGTTCCTGTGGCATCAGGGCTGCAGGGTCTGGGAGGTCCCACCAGTGGGAAGTTTGAGGGAGTTCTACATCAGCTCAGATCTGGGTTGTACTAGATCCTATATTGAGGCTCCCAGGGCAATAACCGAGTCTCAGCACTGCTTCACTGCACCATCTCCAGAAGCCCCAGCGGGGAAAGCCTCTCACCAGCGTAAAGTCAACTGCCTCCTGAAAGTACCTGGTGCCTGGGGTTTGCACTCTTGTCTTAGCTCTCTTGCTGCTTGCTAATAAGATATGCAAATTATTGGGGCTGTGAAATCCTAGCCACATTCCATCTTCTGTTTAATTAGCATTTAATCTAATCTGGTTTTAATTTTTTCACACTGGCACCCTAATTAAATGTTAGGGTGTTAGTCTTAACAATTAAATTATATTGGCAAATAGAGTCTTCAAGAAACTTGACCTTTTTTTCAAGTCAGAGCCCTCTCTAGCTGGATGCAGATATTAATTAGATTCTCTGAGATTCTGCTTCTAGGCCCATTGGTGAACCCATTCAGCTGTTTTCCTATGGATGTGGCCCTTGACCCCACAAGGCACACCGGGACTTGGCCCCAGCAGGCACTGGGTTATGGCAGGCAGACGGGTTTGTCAAGAGGATTGAGAGGCCCATGTGAACTGACCAAGCCCCCAGGACTTGGACTTCAGCAGTGGGTGTTGACTTAGCAAAAGGGCCTCACGGCGGCAGGTGGGGCTTGGGCCTGGAGCATGCTGGAAGTGGTTTCTCCCCTCCCGTTGACATGAGCTCGCCTTTACCTTGTGACACTCAAGTGATGACAACTGGGAAAGCTGGGACTTGAGTAAGTCCCAGGTGTCTAGCGGCACCCCTGTGTTCCACAGCAACCCTCTGAGGGTGGGGTGCAGAGGCAGGAGGCTTCATCATTGCCAGCTGGGTAGAGGTTGGGAGGTAGCAGACTGAACTATGGGAAGAACAAGTTTTCTAGTGTGAGAGAGCAGGTCGGTGGCCAAAGAAACCCAGGAAGTGGGAATTCCGGATAGGCTTAGGGATGAAGGAAGACAAAGGCCTTCCTCTCCTACCACATACCAACCAAGGGTGGGACTAGAGAGTCCGGCTTCTTGGTGAAATGGGTAGTGTTTCTGAGAGAACTTGGTAGTCCTTGCTCATGGAAACTTCCCAAGCCCCAGCCTCTTGCTTTACTCTTTGTCTAAAATTTAAGTCTTCTTTTCTGGCACTAGAGAGCCTTGGTTTATATGTACATTTGTTCATCTGGGTGCAGATTTGCACACATATTTTAGACGTATGGCACAGAGCACTCACAAAGCAGTAGTATTGGGTTCCTGCTCTATTTGTTCTATTTGTCTGTGTGTGACTACAGGAGCCAGGAGGCCAGATTGGGACCACTGGGCTGGGGAAGAAAAGGAGGCTGCTTTTTTGGTGAGGGACTTACCAGTTCTTGGCTTTCTTTCTCAACCTGTCTCTATTCTAGGAGGCAGAGGGCAATTTGCAGGAATCTCCTTTTACCATGTGGGTCCCAGATTCTGAACTCAGGTCAAGGGCCTTTAGCTCTCACTGGCCCTGCTTTCATGCCACCCTATTTGCCTGCTCCCCTGGCCAATGAAGCCAGCCTCTCTGCAGCATCCGGTGACTCCTTCCCCTCCCACCTCTGCCAGGTTTTCCGGACAGACTTGATCACAGCCATGAAGATCCCGGATTCATACCAGCTCAGCCCGGATGACTACTATATCCTGGCCGACCCATGGCGACAAGAATGGGAGAAAGGTGTGCAGGTACCTGCTGGAGCGGAGGCCATTCCAGAGCCTGTGGTGAGGTGAGCCAGGTGGCCAGGCTAGGACCACTGGGGCAGGGGATGAATCTGAGGCTGCTTTTTGGTGAGGGGCCTACCAGTCCTGGGATTCCTCCCCAGCCTGTCTCTATGAGGTGGTTAATTCTCACGCCAGACAACAACAACAACAAACATTGGTTCAGAAATACTGGTTGGGTTACCTTTGAGGCTTTGGGCTTGCGCTCAGCTCTCAAACCATATTGCATTGGTCCAGTTTGCTTCTTACTGTCAGTAGGACCTTGAGCCAGAAATGTAATCTTCCTTGTTTCTGAAATAAGGGTGATACTTGTTTTCCTTGTGGTTGGAGAAGACTCAGGATGTGAGCTGCCTATAGCAGATGTAGCAGAAATGGCTAGGGTTCGAAGGTTGCAATTACACACATCAGACAGAGCAGATGAGGGAAATCTCCAGACTTTTCCCCATCCCTTACAATGAGAATAAGCCATGTTGTTCTGAAGTACTTTTAAACCATCCTTTAAGGCAGCTCTTAGAGGGCGGAGCCTGGTGCCCATCAGCCAGTAGAGGCTTAGGAAAAAGTTGCTGGTGTCAGCCCCTGAGGAGTCTATCCTTCTAGGGCCGGATCAGAGTAGAGTTTTCAAGGGCTTCATAGCCTGCTGGTCTTGTGGGCAGGGACTCTTGTCAGAATGTAACCACGTATGGTTTTGCCTCAGAAGTGTTTTCATTTTGCAACCTCAGGGGACTGGTGGCCTGGCCTCCCTGTCCCACCAGCTCACCTGAATTGATCCACTTGTGTTAATATTTCTTCCTGGTGTTGGCCGCCTCTTGGCTTTCGCTTGAGGACAAGTAGACAGAGATTGGGGCAAAGATCACAGCTATCCCCTCCTCTGACATTGGCACCATTGCTTCCTGGCAGCTACACGTGTGAAGAGCCTGATTCATGGCACCCCTGAGCTAGAATTACAGGTTAGGGAGACTCAGCCAAACTCTGTGAGGGACCGGATGTGGGAAGGCCTTTTCTCCAGGGACTTAAGTGTCTGGGGCCCTCTGCGAATCAGGAAGCTGGAATGCCTGAGGACCACACTGGGAACATAATGAGGGGTAGATGGATAGATGGGTGGGTGGGTGGGTGGATGGATGATGGATGGATGGATCCCCTTCTAGGACCTGTAACATGGGCCAAGATCCTAGTGGGTTTTTCATGCCCTGACCTTGTCAGTCAGGAGAACCATGGCCTGACTTCTCCGAGTTACTCTGCTCCACTGTGGAACGGGGATGATTTTAATACCAGTGCCTACCTGATGGTGTGAAGGTCAGGATTAAATGAGAACTGTGCGTGGCATGACAGTTTATTGCACTTGCCTCTACTCTGGTGGCTTTGTGTTGGTGGCTTATCTGATGACGTGGAGAGGGGCCGTGCTGTCCTGGCCTCCTGAGGTCCCAGCATCCTTTATCTGATTCAGTTGTTTTGTTGTAGCCCAGGTGTTTTTGTTTGTGTTTGTTCGTTTTTTGAGACATGGTCTCATGTGTCCCGAGCTGGTCTTCTTGTGTATCCAAGGATGACCATTACACCCACCCAGTGTCTGTGGTGTTGGCATGGACCCCAGCGCTGTTCGTGCTGTACTGGGTAAGCTCTCTACCAACCGAGTGCATCCACAGAGCCTCCGTATACTCAGGAGATGTACTGAGAAGGGCAAAGGGGTCCTTTTAGACTCTAAAATTTAGAGGGTTCACCATACCCCTGCTTTCCGGTCTCCCAGAGATCAGTGTTATCACCTCCCCAGGTGCCTCCCCGCTGCACAGCCTCCTGGGAGCAGCTACCATGGAGGGTACCGAGCACCTCCCAAGTGAAGCCTGTCACTGTCACTCGGTGAGCACATTTGCAGAGTGCATAGTACTGTCCCCAGTTTATAGATGAGGAAGTCAGGAAATTCTGGGGAATTTCCTATGGGGCCTACAAGGCCGCTAGGCCAGGAAATGACAGACCACAGGAACAAACCCTGGGCTGTCCCTGTGAGGCCTAGAGTGAGAGCTCTAGCTGTACTCTCCCATGTTCTTTCCCCAGACACTGTCCCAGCCTGACTCCTCTGCCCTGGTTGTGTTCGCCTTGTGGTCTAAAATGTGCCATGAGCGTTTGCGCTGTCCCTTTAAACATGGTCCAGGGCAAAACCAACCTGGTGTCTGTCCACTTCTCTGGGATGGTCTCTGCCCTCTCTTGTAGGTCTTGAAGAAGCATTCCTTCCACCCCTCTGAGCCCCGTTGCCACCGGCTGTGTCCGAGGGCAGGATGTTGGCTTAGGGTCAGGTTAGTCCACGCCTGGTGGGAGGTGCTCTTTCTGGTGTGTGTTCCCCAGCCCTGGCTCCTCAGGGGGCTGGCCAGTGAAGCGAGCAGGTGTGACTGGTACTCAGCAGTAGGTAGCTGTTCAGACGGGGATGCTCAGAAGCTTGACTAAGCGTACACTTAGGGCACACACAGGGCTGGAGTGTGACAAAATTATAGGCTGTGCTTTTAAGAGATGCTCATTTTGGAGTGACAGTTTCTCGGGAAAGGCAGCATTTGTTTGGACTGAGGACATCGGTGTTGGCCTCTCTTTGGGATCATCTGCTTGGCGTGGGAGGAGTCATTGTCACCTCAGACTCTCAAGAGGGTTTCTCATGTCCAGTGGTGGTACTGACCCTTAACTTTTGACCCCTTTACTGTCTCCTTGTCTGTAAGACTTCCAAGCCTACGGTCTTTCCTCCCTGCTTGCACTCTGCCTCACCGTGCCCAGCATTCTTCCTGTCCCCTTGTTGACACCAGGGCACTTCCTGAAGCCGGGGGCCCTCCCTAAAACTCAGACCTGTCCCTGTGCCATCTTGAACCCTCCCCTCTCCTGCCCAGCCTGAGCTGAGTCACAGCCCTTGGCCAGCCCTGCCTCTGACCCCAGGAGGCCTCCCGGGCAAGTGTGGGGCCTCTCAGGCCTGGCGGGGCTGGCCAGATGGAGGCCAGGCTCCAGATGATAACCATGGCAACCAGTGGGTATGGGAAGGGCTGGCATTTTGAACTGGCCTCAGAATCTGACGAGGAGCACACAGATGCGTGAAGAGGGCGACACCCGTCTGAGACAAAATGCCCCTTATTTTCCATTTCAGGAGCAGAAAGGTGACTGACGCCTGGAGATCTTAGCGCACACACATACACACACGCACAGTCAGCCCACCCCACTCCCTGACTGACACTTTGCTAACAGATTTCTTTGTGTTAGTCCTTGCCATCCTCTCACCAAGCACCTACAGTAGGTTATGTTAATGGTATCCTGTTTGAGGGGGGAGGACCTGAAGGAATGGCCATTCAGCCTGCAGCAGGTCCCTGGCCCTGAAGGAAGACTGATCTGGGATGGGAACTTTGGAAGGCAAGCTGAAGCAGTAAGAAGCATGATTCCTGTGTGGTCCGTGGGGAGGGTCAAGGTATGTGGCCAGCATGTTATGGTGGCCACAGCCCTTGTTTGGTTTATCAAGATAGAGTTTCTGTGTGTATCACAGCTTTGACTATCCTGGACTCATTTTGTAGACCAGGCTGGCCTCAAACTGACGAGATCTGCCAGCTTCTGCCTCCCACGTGCTAGAATTAAAGGCGTTTGCCTCCTCACCCAGCTGTTTGGCCACAGGCCTTTAATCCAGAAAGCTCTCTCTCCTGGGTTGTACAGTAAAAACCCTGTGGAGCTTAAACTTCTGGGAAAGGGAGCCACACTTCAACTTAAGACCATGACATCCACAGGCCCTTGGTGAGGAGGAGGCAGGGATTATGAAGCTGTGTAGTTAGTCATTGGTCCTAGCCTGGAGGGGTATGCCAAAGGGTCTAGAGTCCAGCTGGCTCTATCTCACCTGTCCCCGAGTAGTTGACGCGGGGTATTGCCCAGGATGGGCCCTTGGGATACCTCCTCCTGACCAAGGCAGGGCTGATCCAGGTTGGGAATAGGCCTGACTGGACAGGGCAGAGGCTACTGTGGTGGGCCAGGGCTGTCTGACATTACATGGACTCCACCTCTCCCTGACAGCCCTTAGGCTCCGCTAGTCCTGTCGATCTGTAGTTAATGGAGTCTGTAAGGCAGACTGGCAGCAAGGGAAGAAGTGGAAAGGGGGATGGAAATGAGGGATGGGCCCAGTGAGGCATGAGCATCTCATACCTAACCCCTGGCCACCAGTCCCTCAGCAGGCCTGACTGAAGCAGACAAGCCAAGGCTCCTCCCTTCACCACTCCCATCCTTGGTTTCCCAGGCTCCTCCCACCACTGAAAGGCCCCCCTGCGCAGGTGTCCCTGGACAGCCCCACACTTGGCGAGAGTGCCCAGCCTTACTGGCCAGGAGGCAGCCGCTACGACCTGGATGAGATCGACGCCTACTGGCTGGAACTCCTCAATGCAGAACTCAAGGAGATGGGTAGGTGTGCGCCCGGGCGTGTGAGTGCAGCTGGCGGGGGTGGGGGGGTGGGGGGGGGTCTCTCCCTTTCCCCCCCCCCCCATGGTGTCTGCAGCACCAGAAAAGCAAAGGCTGCCCCGGGGCCACATCCCAGCAGCTTTGCTGACAGGTGTGGGTTTCACTGCCTCTGTCAGGAGGAGGTGAAAATAGCACGTAATTCACTAATTCACGGGGCTCGAAGTCGCAGGAAGTGAGCACACAAGGAGAACCGGGGGTTAGTGGGCCTGGGCCTCCTGGGTGAAGCCTGACACGTCCCAGGAAAGACCAGCTTGGCCACTGTCAGGGATGATATACACGCAGTGCACACAGTAGCTTCCTCGTGGAGCCAGCTGCATTGCAGAGAGACACACCCTACATTGTATGTGCGCATGTGTGAGTGGCCATGGGCAGGCGGTTGAGATGGGCAGGACCTTTGGGATTAGACGGTTGTCCCTGGATGGAGCCGAGGCCCGGGTCACCACTGTAGATGGATGGGTGGAGCCTTCCCCTCAGCACCGCTGATAGGTTTGCCCTGATGGCCTCAAAGCCCGCTGAACTCCTAACAGTGTCCCCTGCTGTCCTGCCCACAGAGAAGCCTGAGCTGGATGAGCTGACGTTGGAGCGTGTTCTGGAGGAGCTGGAGACCTTATGCCACCAGAACATGGCCCAGGCCATCGAGACGCAGGAGGGGCTGGGCATCGAGTATGACGAGGACGTCGTCTGTGACGTGTGCCGCTCCCCTGAAGGCGAGGATGGCAACGAGATGGTCTTCTGTGACAAGTGCAATGTCTGTGTGCACCAGGTGGGTGGACCCTGTCACCGTCCCTCATACCCCTGACCCCGAAAGAAAGTGAACTGTTTATGATGTTACTTGCGTAGTGAAAAATTGTAGGGCTGAGCCTGGGAGATGGCTCACCGGGTAAAGGCACTTGCTTGAAATAGTGGTGACATGGGTTCAGTATACCCATACCCATATGAAGACAGAAGGAGAGAACAGAGTCACAGAGCTGCCCTCAAGCCTCCACGTGTAGCCCGTGGCCCGCCATATTGTGTCCCCAATGAATTAACTTAAGAAATACATAGAGTACATCTATGCTAGAGTACTTCTTACTGTTGTTACTGTAACAGAGCTAGCCAGGGTCCCTTCCTTTTCTTTTCTAAGATTTTATTTTTTTTTTTAAGGGTGTTGGGGGATGATGTGCAAGTATGGGTGAGTGCCTCTGGAGACCGGAGGTAGCCAAGCTGTCTGGAGCGGAAGCCAAAGGTGGTTATGAGCCTCCTGACATGGGTACTGGGAGCTAAACTCCAGTCCTCTGAAAGAACAGCAAGTCACTCTTAACTACTGAGCTATCTCCCCACCCCACTGTCACCCTTCATTTTGTAAAAGTTATTTTATCATTTTATGTGTATGGGTGTTTCACCTTGTACATCTGTGTCTGACTTCCAGGAAGGCCAGAGGAGGACATTGTACCACCTGGAATGACAGTTGAATATGCTTGTGAGCCGCTACCGGGCTGTTAGAAACTGAACTCAGTTTCTGTGCTCTTAGCTGTTGAGTCATGTCTCCAGCTTGTAGCGCCCCTTCCTTGGTCTTGGGTTCTGAGACTCTGGACTTGTTTCCAGAAGACCTGACTTGGACTCAGGAGACCCACTCTAGCCCAACTTTTGAGGCACGTGTACCCACTGTAGCCGAATTAGATAGATCCTGAGAAGCAGTGCCTTTGGGCCTGTGTGTCTCTCCCACACCCGTGGCATGATGGGAGAAGTGGGGGGCGGTCGCCGTCACCACAGGGTCCTGTATAAGAAAGAGGAAAGCTTGAACCTTAGTCTTGGGAGACTTAGAACCAACTTTGTATACAATTTAGGAAGCAACTGAGGCTTTTCTTAAAAGGCCCATGCTGGTTAGGAACCTCTGGCTAACATGGGGCTTCTGACGGAGAGCAGCCCTGACCTCTTTCCCAGAGGGTGGGCATGCACACCCTCTGAAAGTCTCTGTGTCACCCAGTGTGGCCCGGGGACAGAGCTGGCACCATTGGCAAGTCACTGACCAGACACTTCCAGTCTGCCAATACTCTGACCCATGACCTCCACTCTGTTCCAGGCATGCTACGGGATCCTCAAGGTGCCCACGGGCAGCTGGCTGTGCCGGACGTGTGCCCTGGGAGTCCAGCCCAAGTGCCTGCTCTGCCCAAAGCGAGGAGGAGCCTTGAAGCCCACCAGAAGTGGGACCAAGTGGGTACACGTCAGCTGTGCCCTGTGGATTCCTGAGGTGTGTAGGTGTGGGAGGCAGAAGATTTCAGGGAATAGAACGTGGGGACAGGGGCATGTGGAAAGCTCAGGTTGGGCCTGGCAGAATTTAGGTGACAGACTGCAGGGAAAAGGAGGCGCTGTTGCTTTCCCATGAAGACGGGTCTAGGAATAACTGAGAGCATTGTTTGTAGACCTGGTCACAGGTCGGGGGCAGTTTCTGTCAGGAAATGGGGAAAAGAGCCACTGGGACATTCAAGATGATTTGAGGTTCGGCCTCAGTCAAGTGGCAATATGGCAGGGTCGGCGGGCGATTCAGATCATGGGATCTGTCAAAAGAAGGCTTTGGTTAAAATCAGAATGAAACCAGCCTTGGTAGCATATGCCTGTAAATCTAGCACTTGGGAGATGGAGGTAGAAAATGGGGAGTTCAAGGTCACCATCAGCTTGAGTTTGATACTAGCCTGGCCTACATGATTCTCCATCTCAAAACCAAGCAGAAAGACACAGATAATCTCCTAGTCCTGTGGCTGGGACCACATGGAAAGGCCGTGGACAGCAGGCTGGGTCCACGGCGGCCAACTCTGCCAGAGTTTTAGTCAGTTCTTCCGTTTTAAGATGTTTGTCCGTTGCTGTCCATGCCTAGAAGCAAGCTAGGGGCTCCTGTCAGCTTGCAACCCTTCCCTTGTTCGTCAGTCCAAAGGTTCCCACTGGGGTCTTCCCTGCCATACTTGAGTTAATGGTTACTTGTGTCACGTCTGCATCTTGAAGGCCAGGACTGCCTCTCAGTATCCTCTCTCCTGGTTACAAGAGACAGACTCACCTATTGAGGACCCCATCCTTGGGGGCTGGCAGGATGGCTCGGCAGCTTAGATGCTTGCTGCCAAGCTTGACAACCTGAGTTCAGGTCCCAGGACCTACCTAGTAGGAAGAGAGGACTGACTCCTGCAAGTTGTCCTCTGGCCTCCACACCTCTGCTGTGGCATACACGAACTCACGCATGCACACCCCTGTCTCAAAGCCCACGGTCCAAGGCCCATGCTTCTCCTTGCCAGCTACCTTCTTTCACCCTCGGGGGCTAGTTCCAAATGAGCAGGTGCTTGATTGGGCAGAAGGGTGGGAGACTGGGACCTTAGGCCCTGCACGTGTGAAGTCAGGGAGAATTAAGGTTTACAAGTTCGGCCACGGCTCTTGTCTGCTCACTACCTGGCCGCAGCTGACAGCCTCCCAGCTACGGCCTGACGCAGCTCCCTGTGTTCTGCCCAGGTCAGTATCGGCTGTCCAGAGAAGATGGAGCCCATTACCAAGATCTCACATATCCCAGCCAGCCGCTGGGCCCTGTCCTGCAGCCTCTGCAAGGAGTGCACCGGCACCTGCATCCAGGTATGTGGCCTGCTTCCCCCTGCTGCCCAGGGCCATCTCCTGACCAGATCTGAGGTAACCTTACACACCGCTAGTTACCACCTACCCCCTGTGGCTACACCGCTGATGGTCCCGAGAGGCTTAGGCCGGGGCCACATTGCTGTTTCACAACCATGAGGAAGGTACGTTCGTTTTCGTTCATTCCTCCTCGGGCTTCCAAGGAGTCAGGCCAGACTCCCACCCATGGAGTGCTGAGAACTTGGCTTTCCCCATGAGAGCAGTCATCCCTGGGCTTGATAATACACTGGCCTTTTAGACTGCAATCCTGACATGGGAGTGGAATGGAAATCTAAATCCCTCTTCTGCTTAGCAAATGCGCCTCGCTGAGCCAGTGCCCGGGCCTACTGGTCGACCTGTGAGGGTGGCTCCCGTTTTGGTGGTCGTCAGAATCACCCGAGGCTTTCAAAACACGTGAACAAGAGCCCCACAGTGCTGAGCCCCATCTGGAGGGAGCTGTAGATTTGCTTGGCTCACGGAGCAGGGGTTGCCGGTCTCTGGTCTGTGCTGTGGGGTTGGAAGGCCCCCTTTGTCCCTCTCATCTCATTGCAAATAGGCCTCCACTCATTTATCAGACCTCCAGAAGGCCTCTGGATACAGTGGCAGCAATACCTGATGTTGGGTACATCATTGATGAACTGGTGTCAGCAGTCCAGCCCCCACCCCAGGCTGGGAGAGATGGTCCAGCCTTTAGCTGTTTGGATAAGTGAAGGCAGGAATCCAGCTGCTCCCAGAGAGCAGAGCTGGGCCAGACTCCTGAGCTTTGATGACTGCGCAGTAGCCTGGAGCCTCCTCAGGTTTTTTATTTTGTTTTTTTTTTTTTAACCCTGCCTTCTAATCCCAAAGCCATTTTGCCCACAGAACAGTGCATCTTGTCCCCACGTGAATGAAATCATTACTTTCTGACTGTTGGCTCCCTCAACATGTCTGGGATTTGTTCTGTTCCCTTTCCAGGTGCTGCACAGCTCCTGTTTCTCCTACCAAAGCTCCTTTTTAACGCTGTGGGAGGTCGGAGCCCAGGCCATTTTATGTAGGCTCTCCCCGGCATTCTGGTGCTCCACGGTGCCCTGGATGAACCCCTGTGTTGCCCTGCCAGGCTCCTTTAAAGCCTGACACTTGCCTTTTCCCTCTCCCCAGTGTTCCATGCCTTCCTGCGTCACAGCATTCCATGTCACCTGCGCCTTCGACCGAGGCCTAGAAATGCGGACTATATTAGCCGACAATGACGAGGTCAAGTTCAAGTCACTCTGCCAGGAGCACAGTGACGGGGGCCCTCGGAATGAGCCTGCTTCTGAGCCCGTGGAGTCCAGCCAGGCCGTTGAGGACCTGGAAAAGGTGACCCTACGCAAGCAGCGGCTGCAGCAGCTAGAGGAAAACTTCTACGAGCTGGTGGAGCCGGCTGAGGTAGCCGAACGGCTGGACCTGGCCGAGGCGCTGGTGGACTTCATCTACCAGTACTGGAAGCTGAAGAGGAGAGCCAATGCCAATCAACCGCTGCTCACGCCCAAGACCGACGAGGTGGACAACCTGGCCCAGCAGGAGCAGGATGTGCTTTATCGCCGCCTGAAGCTCTTCACCCACCTGCGGCAGGACCTGGAGAGGGTGAGTAACCCTGGCGGATCAGAGGTGGGGTCGCAGCCAGGACTTGGGGGTACGAAGGCTGCCAGGATTAGAAGGCGCGCTAGGATGAGAGATGCTTGGTCTTTGAGTCTCTCTGTCAGCCATTTCCCAGGCGTTGGTGAAGGTGGCCTGTGGGGACAGGAGGGAAGGCTGCTAGTACCCAGTTGCCTGCCACCTCACTTCCGTGGATGGTGACCAAGCCTGAAGGAGCCAGTGTTACCCAAGATGCCTCTGTCCTGAGGTATTAAGAGAAGGGATTGCCTGCCGTTTGCACGTGCCTTTAATCCCAGCGCTTGAGAGGCAGAAGCAGGTGGATCACTGAGTTCAAGGCCAGCCTGGTCTACAGGGCGAGTTCCAGGACAGCCAGGGCTACACAGAGAAACCCTGTCTTGAGGGAAAAAAAAATAGAGAGGAGAGTAGGGACTGTCCAGTTACCAGGCATGCTGGTGCTGGCCAGAACTGGGCAGGCAGCATGGATGGTGGATGGGATTCCCTCAAGCTGCCAGGCAGAGAACAGGATGACAACATCAGGCAGTCCCCAACAGAGGCAATTCAGGCCTGGCCTGGGTGACTGAGTCGTACACACTCCATCTTTGTTCCAGGAGACAGGGCAAAGGCATGGCTTGGTCCCAGGTGGTATATGTGGGGCTGAGAGAGACGCACACATTTGGATCTGCTCATCAGTGCTGTGAACCCAGGAATTGCTCTGGACATTAAGTTCTAAAGTTCAGAGAACTGTAGAATCATGTCTCGGTATCCTCCATGGACCCAAGCATGCCGCCCCTTCCTGGGCTGTGATTGGAAAGCTTCAGTGGGATTAGGCGGTCGGCTACTTTCCCTGTCTGTGCCTCAGGTGATCCAGTCTGTGAAGTGGGCGGGGCATCCCAGCAGGCCATTTGCCGATGTGCCGTGGAAGGAATTGCACTAGGCTTCCTCACTCTATACAGCTGCCCTGGGGCCTGGGCAAGAGATGACCCTGGTGGCCAAAGTGGGAACTTAACTGCCTGACTGCTAAGGTCAGAAGGGAGGGTGGTTCAGCCAGGGCAGGGGTGTGTGGACCCCTGCTGGCTGGACCATAGCCGCCGCTTCCTGGGCAGTTCAGCCTCCCTCAGTCCCCACCCCCCCCAGGTCTCCAATGTGAGTTGCTGTCCCTCTTGGTGCTTGCCAGAGGACCCCTCAGATGTTGCCTCATGGTCTGTGCAGGTCAGGCCCCGGTGTGTGGCTCCCACCTGACCTAACCTCTTGGGGAGTAAGTGAGGAAAACCTTCCCTTCCTCAAGAGGCAGGTGCAGTCCAGTTGGGCTCAGGAGGCTGAGATGATAGGAAACCTTAGAGAAACTTGTCTCCTTGGGCTGGAACTTGACTTTGGATTTGAACTTGCCTGGGGGTGGGGCTCAGAAAAAGCAATATTGCTTGTTTCCAGTTTTGTAGATTTTCCTGAGCAAATGTGTTCTTTTATCATTTCTCTGACCTCCGAACCCCAGAATCAGCTACTTACGGGGCCACTATCCGAGGCTGGCAAGGGCTGGTGAGCAAGCTGCCTGGATAGGCTCCAAAGGCACAGGGTAGAGAGGGCTGCCACAGACCCCTCCAAAGGCAGGTGATACCTACCTGAGCATCTAGAAAGAGGGGTAAGAGCCTAATGTGGAACTCTGTGAAAACTCTTGGAGGCTCCAGACAAGAGACCCTCTCCGAACTGCGCGTCCCAGCAATCCTCAGGGCTGGGCTTGAGCACTGAAGAAGGAAACTAGCAAAGATAGCAGTGAGACCCAGGCTCAGGTGTCCCAGCATCAGGCCCTCTCAGGACCACGTGTTGATGACTTGAGCCAATGAAAAGCACCAGGCTCCGTAGTGGCAGTGGCCTAGCCAGTAGGCCCAGTCTCTGACCATGGCCCAGGGCCAATAACAGCTGAGAGTACTCCGCCTTTGACTGGGCACCAGGCCAGCTTGGGCCTGCTTCCATAGTGAAGGTGCAGGATAAGGCCGGAGAGAGAGGCCTTGGGTGGTCCGGCTCTTCGGATTCCAGACCTCCTTCTCCCCAGCTCTGTGACTTTCTGTTTCCTTTTCCATGAAATGGGAATAAGGATCCAAGTGACCCTGGGGTCACAGGAGAGTGTTTCGTTTTGTTTGAGGCTGGGTCTCACCCTGTAGCCCAGGCTGGCTTCACCCTCCCAAGTACAGGAATTAACAGGATGTGAGCCCCTTTCCCTAGCCCACTGCAGGTAGATGGTTGACACTGTTGGCTCCGTAAGCGGGTCAGCTCCGTAAGCGGGTCAGCTCTCAGGAGAGAGGTGAAGCCTTGTATCCCAAGGGTGGCCTGGCGCGCCAGCATGGGCATCTTTCCTAATGGTTCAGGAGCAGGGCTGCCACTGGCGTGAAATCGATTTTACGGGCAACCCAGAAGATACGCCTTCCTACAAATTCCAGCCGCAGGCCTGGACCTTGGCAGGCAGCGTGGACGGGCATGACCACCGCAGCGTCCAGAGTTATTCACGGCTGACAGAAAAATTGCAGGAGTGGACATCAGTCCTGCAGATGCCGGCTCATGTCCCCTAGCAACCACGCTGGCTGTCAGGCCCTGCGGGGACGCGGTTGTGGTTCTTGCTACAAGAGTTATTCTGAAGACTGAATGGACCTTGTGCACGAGCCAAGAGGGTGGCTGGAGCTCTCAGTCACACATCTGCCCTTAGATGAGCAGCCTCACCCCTGCTGCTCCCCCAGGGATGGAGAGAAACAGTGAGAAGTGGATCCTGGCCTGTTCTGATGTTGCCACTGGCTTCCTTGTTGGTCCCTAGATTGTGGTCCCTTGCCAAAATCCTTCACAGCGCTTTTCTGGTGAACACAGTCACTCCATTTCCTACCTCCGTCACCGCTCCGTTTGCCGGCCCTTTGTCTTTATTCAGGCTTGTTTAAGGACACCAGTCATGTTGCAGAAAGGGCCCACCCCATCCCAGATGACTTCATCTGAGCTAATTTTATCTTCAGAGACTTTATGTCCCATTCTGAGGCTCCCGGCAGGAAATCTTGGGGAATTCAAACCATATAGAGGCCCTGGAAGGTGTAGGTCCGGCCAGGAAGTGGTCTCATTTGCATTTCAAGAGCATTGCCGAGGGATGGTTTTACTATCCCTGTGAAAAGATGGGGGGAGGGGGAGGGAGAAGGGCGGAACCAGGCTGTGAAGTGAGCTGGTGTCCCTTGCAGGGAAGGACTGACTTGTACTGATGGGTCTGTTGTGGGTGTGAGCCAAGAGGGCAGGTCCTGGGGATGACTCCAGTTTTCAGCCATAAACCCTCCACAATTCCCCTTGGGTCACAGGGCACCCCAAAGAGCCTCCTCACCCCCTATCCCACCCTATACTCCCCAAGGTTTTACTTCTCCTTGCTGTTCTTAACATTTCTCCACAAAGTCCAGCTAGGCCTCCTGCTGGGCTTAGCTGTCCCTTTGTCCAGGAAGCCTTGCAATCTGGTCCCCCTGGTCCTGGGAGTGCTTCATTGCAATCTCTACCTGCTTTCTACAGTGTTTTTCCAGAATGTAGGAAGACTCAGAGCCAGGCTGAAGTGAAGGGTTGTGGAGAGGAAGTTGGTTGGAAGATGGACTGTGGTAGGAGGTTTACAAGCTGGTACCAGTGGTTAAAATGCCCCGGTATCCCTTGAGGAAGGGGCTGGACATGGGAATTAGTGAAGCTGTGGTGGGTGATGGCTGGACCGTGGCAGCCTAGTGTTCATGTTCATAGTGCAGGTGGGGAGTACAGGCGTGGAATGTCACAGCAGAGTCCATAGTGAATCCACCCTTTTGATACTAACGGCTGGACTGGGTCTTCTAGAATCTTCACAACCAGTCCCCGAAAGGAGGAAGGCCACACCGGCTGAGATCTGGTCATACCACCTTGAACTAGGAGGAAGCATGGAGTCGTGCTGAGAAGGAGGGATTCTAAATTAAAGGCCACTCCAGGCAGCTTAAGGATAGGTAGACCTAAGTAAGGCCAGCAGACCACTTGGGGGGTAGATCTAGGGGGATCCTGGTGGGAACAGGATTCAGGTTGATCAGCTGTCATCAGCTAACTCTCCCTGTTTCTGGAAAGCTCCACATGATGCCAGACCAGATCGAGGGAGTGTCTCAAGGGCTGAAGCCTGGTCCCAGACATGTGTGAGGGTGGGGGGGCACCCTGAATAAGCAATGACAGGTCCACCTCAGACGCTTCCAGACGAAGAATGTGTGCCTGTCCTCTAGGCTAAGCCAGACAACTCCCAAACCTATTATAGGGACTCTTTCCACCTGGCCTGAGGGAGTTGGGGGGGGGGGGGGTGCTGTCCTTTATAAAGTAAGGTGTGGGGCTGGAGAGGTGGCTTAGTGGTTAGGAGCACTGGCTGCTCTTCCAGAGGACCTGAGTTCAATTCCCAGCAATCACATGGTGGCTCACAACCATCTATAATTTGATCTGATGCCCTCTTCTGCATGCAGGTGTACATGCAGATAGAGCGCTCATATACAGAGAGAAAGAGAGAGAGAGAGATAGATATGAAGTAAGGCAGCATGTTGCTGTGGGAATGAGGACATTGGCCTGAGTGGCCCCAGTGTGGCAGGGAAGCTTGGGAAAGCTCTTCTGCCAGGTTGTGGTCATTTGAAAGTACGACACTGACGCTGCTGCTTTGGGGCTGGCTGGGGGTTTTACCGTGATGGCCGCATCTGAAGAGCTGCTTTGCCGGGAAAGGCAGGTGTTGGACAGGAAAAGAAGGTTGCCAGGGTGAGACCAGATAGTCCCTGCATACTCAGGGTTGGGGGGTGAATTCTCAAACGTCTTGGGCAGGAGGGAGGTGGCAGTGACGGCCCATGTTCCAAACACTGCTTTCTCCAGCAGCGAGGCCCCTTGAGATGGCCGATCTAGGGTGGGTGAGCAACCTCTCTCGTGTCCCCTCAGGTCAGGAACCTGTGCTACATGGTGACGAGGCGCGAGAGGACGAAGCACAGCATCTGTAAGCTCCAGGAGCAGATATTCCACCTGCAGATGAAGCTCATTGAGCAAGATCTGGGTCGAGGTAGGCACGGGGCCAGAAGCCATCAGCCCACCCCATCTCATCCCATCGCAGTCATCAGTTCCGTACGGGAACCTGTCAAGGCCCTGGTTGTGTTGACAGGCAGGGAGCCAGGGTTTGGACTGCAGCTTTGGAGCCTGCCCTCGGGCACGTCACTCGTTCCTTGGGATAGCCCAGTTCCAGTCGTGGCCTAGCTTGCACTCAGACAGGTGCAGATCCTCCGTCTTCTTGGCTCTGCTGGGCTCTGGGCTCACCTGATTGAGGTTCAGGCCCTGATCAGCTGTGTTTTCTTTGTCCTCTTCCCTCTCCTCCTCCCATCCCTACCCCCGAGAAATAACATGGATTTAGCAGATCGAGAAACGAAGCACAGAAGTCTTGATAGTGACTTCAGTGGTTTAGTTATGGAGTCTTAGGGACACAGGGCAGCAGACACAGGTAGACAGAGCTTTGGAAATGTGGCTGCCACTGACAACTCAGCCTGTGGGTCATTCTGGGACTTGATTGGAGGAGGAGGAGAGCTGCTGGGTACCATTAGGGAAAGGACTGTCCCCTTCTCTGTCAGTAGCTGAGCTGCTCCTCCTTTGGGCTTACCAGCCAAGTGTGGTGGTACATAGCTATAAACCCAGTGCCTAGGAGCCTGAAGCTACACGATTTTGAGTTCAAGGTTAGCCTGTGCTACACAGTGAGTCCCCTTTTTCGTTTGTTTTTGTGGATTTTCAAGACAGGGTTTCTCTGTGTAGCCTCGGCTGTCCTGGGCTCACTTTGTAGAACAGGCTGTCCTTGAACTCACGAAGATCTGCTTCCCTGAGTGCTGGGATTGCAGGCATGCACCACTGTGCCTGGCTGAGCTCCTCTCTTAAGGAAAAAAAAAACAGAAAGAGGAAGTGAGGCTGGAGGGATGGCTCAGGGGATAAGAGCACTGGCTGCTCTTCCAGAGGACCAGGGTTCAGTGGCTGGCGCCCACGTGGTGGCTCATAGCTGTCTGTATCTCCGGTTCCAGGGCATCTGGTGCCTTCTTCTGGCCTCTGAGGGTCTGAGGATGTAGCTTATGGAGGGCACTTCCCTGGCATGCATGAAGCCCTGGATTTGATCCCCAGAGGTGTAGGGCTAGAGAGATGGCTCAGTGGTTAAGAGCACTGGTTGCGCTTCCAGAGGTCCTGAGTTCAAATTCCAGCAACCACAGGCCAGCTCACACCATCTATCATGAGATCTGGTGCCCTCCTCTGGTGTGCAGGCACACGTGCAGGCAGAATAATGTATACATAATAAATAAACCTTAAAAAACAAAAAACCAGATGTGCAAGTGCACTTGGAAGGTAGAGACAGGAGAATCCGGGGCTCCAGGTTATCCATAGCTATGTAGCAAGTTCAAGACAACCCTGGACTATATGAGAATCGTTTTCTTACCTGTATTTGTTTTTATGTCTGTGAATGTTTTGCCTGCATATCTGTATGTGCGTTACATGTATCCCTGGCACCCAAGAAGGTCAGAAGAGGTGTCAGATCCCCTGGGACTGGAGTTACAGGTGGCCAGTGAGCCACCATTCAGGCCCTGGGAATTGAATGCAGCATAATCAATTACAGAGGTCAGAGTAGGTGATGGCCTTGTGGAACTGACAGCTATGTGGCCTCTGTAGAGCTTTCCTGCCCTCCTACAGCAGCGAGCGCATAAAGTCATGTCCCAGGATGTTCGGGGGTAGTGGTATTGAGGGGAACACTACAGCGCTTGGAGGAGGCCACACACATTCAGGGAAACTGAGGGTAGCAAAGCAGGAACAGCACCTTCTGGCACAGGATCCGGCACACCAGAGGCTCTGCACCCCCAGCCTAGAGTCTGGGGACCCCGCAGCTCCTTGCCCTGGGCAGGAACAAGCACCATTGTCCAGGGCAGTGCGTCTTTGAAGAAGACTGCTTGACACCTGCCTGAAGTGGACATGCCTGTGGGGAGGGGTGCTTAGACAAGGCTGTGGGGTATCCAAGGCGAGACATGGAAGGTCTTAGGGGCCTTAGAATGTCAGGCGTGGGGCTCATCTTACATGGCAAGGACACTAAGGTCCAGGTAGAGGCTCTGGGGACTCAACAGCTTTAGGCACACCTTTCTACCTTTGGGGTAGGGGGTGGGTGCAGCCTTGCCTGTCCTGGAACTTACTCTCTAGATCAGGCTGGCCTCCAATTCAGAGATCTGCCTGCCTCTGCTTCCTAAGTACTAAGATTAAAGGCACGCACCACCACCACCTAGCCTTTTAACATTGTTCCTGGAAGGCCTCCTCCCTCTGCTGAGCAGTGGGGGGCTCTTTTTTTTTTTTCTGCCCTGTATCCGACTCCTTATCCTGGCATTCAAGGCCCTGCCCTGTCCATATAACATTCAGTCACTTTTCCGTCCCCCAGAACTATGGGTTTTGAAGGTCACTTAAAGCTCAGGTCCCACAAGGACTTCCTCTCCCTGCTTCTAGGTCCTTCTTAGAGTTGTGGGCAGTTATCCTGTGTCCTACCCGAGCTCCCCGTTTCTAGCATATTAACTCTGACCTTGGTACCATGGAGGACAGGCACAGTTGTTGAAGGACCCCGGGCTGCCATTCAGGTTTAACTCCCTTTCTCTAACACAGAGCCTTCTGGGAGGAGAGCGAAGGGTAAGAAGAGTGACTCGAAGAAGAAAGGCCGAGAAGGTCCCAAGGGCAGTAGCCCTGAGAAAAAAGAGAAAATGAAGGCTGGGCCGGAGTCTGTCCTGGGGCAGCTGGGTAAGTGAGGAGTCATTGCGGCCTAGCAGACATTTTAGCACTGCCCCCCCCCCCCCCCTTCAGCTTTACTCCATGTCGGGGCCGGCAGCATGAGTGAAGCACAGGTGCCTCCCAGAAGAGCCACTCAGGCCCGTCTTCTTGGCCTCGCCTCACCTGAGATCCCAAGAGAGGCTAGCTGGATGGAGGCTGGGTTCTGCCAGCTCAGGGGCTGCTGGGGTGCTGGATCCTCCTGGGGGTCCCTAGAAATCATTCCCGTGCTGGGAGGGGAGGACTGCAAGAAGTCTGTGTCTCTGTTGCAGTCTGCCAGAGTCGTCAGCCTATCCTGTGTCCGTTCCCTGCCCTAGCCCCCGTCCACCACCATGGCTAGTGTGGCTTGTTCAATCTGCAGCCAGTTTTTTCTTGAGCTATACAGAGACCAAAAGAAGTGACAGCAAGCCCCAATCAGTGACAGTAGACCTCACAATAGACCTCAGTAAAATGGGCCCCAAAGCTGAAGCTGGTCGTGGGCTCCCTGTCTCAGAGACCTCTCTATCTGGTGGTTCTCTCTCCCACTCCCCCACCCCCCCACCTCCAAGCTGCTGGAGGGGCTGCCTGTACAGCTGCAGCGCCTCCTGGTGGCCTCTCTGCTCTTGCCACTTTGAAACTCTCCAGTGTTTGAACAAGGAGCCCACTACTTTCTTAACGCTCCACAATTTACAAAACCAGTCCTGGGGTCAGTCACCCTGGTGAGCGGGGGCTGGCGCCGGCCCAGCTCTTTGCTGGCATCGGTGGGAGGGGTGGACAGAACCAGGGTGGCTTCCCTGCGTGGGCTGGTCATGTTGAGCTACCTGGAACCGTGGTACGCACAGCTCACGCACCTGCGGCCTCTCACCTCACCTTCTATCCTCCCGTCCTTCAGGTCTGTCCACCTCGTTCCCCATCGACGGCACTTTCTTCAACAGCTGGTTGGCACAGTCGGTACAGATCACGGCAGAAGACATGGCCATGAGCGAGTGGTCTCTGAACAGTGGGCACCGGGAAGACCCCGCCCCGGGTCTGCTGTCAGAGGAACTGCTACAGGATGAAGAGACACTGCTCAGCTTCATGAGGGACCCCTCAATGCGACCTGGGGATCCCGCCAGGAAGGCCCGAGGCCGCACTCGCCTGCCAGCCAAGAAGAAACCTCCACCCCTGCAGGATGGGCCCAATGGGCCCAGTGCACGGACCACTTCAGACAAGACACCTAAGAAGGCCTGGGCCCAGGATGCTGGCAGCGGCAAGGGCATGCAAGGACCGCCCGCCAGGAAGCCACCACGGAGGACGTCTTCTCATTTGCCGTCCAGCCCTGCAGCTGAGGACTGTCCTGTCCCAGCAGCACTGGAAAGCTCCCCAACCCTGGCCTCCGAGAGTCTGGATGAGACAGCCCCCGTGGCTTCCGACTTGAATGTCCAAGTGCCTGGCCCTACAGCGAGCCCTAAGCCCTTGGGCAGGCTCCGGCCACCCCGAGAGATCAAGGTCAGTCGGAAATCTCCGGGTGCTAGGTCAGATGCTGGGACAGGACTGCCATCTGCTGTGGCCGAGAGGCCAAAGGTCAGCCTACGCCTGGACGCCGAGGCTGACGGCTACTACTCTGATGAGGAGATGAGTGACTCTGATACAGAGGCAGGGGACAGTGGGGTACAACGGGCTTCCAGGGAGGCAGGGGCAGAGGAGGTGGTTCGCATGGGGGTACTAGCCTCCTAACTTGCCCTGGTCCCCCACCAGGTCTCAGCCCAATCATAACTGCCGTTTCCGACTGCTGAGTGTCCCAGACCCGCCACTCTGTCGTGGTTTTATTTTTAATAATAGAGAGAGTTCTGAGTTCCACTCCGTTGTCTTTCCTCTGTGCTGGCATAGGACATTAGGATTCCCCCCTGTGGCCCTGGCCACGGGGACTATGCCAGGTTCTATGTGCCACCCCTGTCCCAGCCCACGCGACATCGCTGGGCCTTCTGGCTTGATGTAGACGAGGTGAGGGAGAGAGAGCTCAGGGCTCCTGCCCACTGCCACTGGGTGACACAGACTGTCGTTAGGGCATTATTTCATGGCAGATGGGCCATCCCAGGGCCTATCCCACCTGTGTCCCCCCAGATTACACTGGGGGTCGTTTTGGGTGGGGGGGTGTCCTGCTGCACTCCACTGATCCCTAAGGAAGTATGACAAATGATTCCCAGCCAGTCTATTCACTGTCACAAGCACAACGAGTTTATATGAGAAAGCACTGAGGGGGTCAGGGGCCCCCGCTGGCTCCTGAATAGCCCATGACATCTGAGGCCCGTCCACCCACCCACAATACCCCCCCCCCTTGCTGCTCTGTCCCTGCCAGTGCCCAGCCCAAGCAGCTCTGGGAAGGGGTTCCCAGGATCCTTCCTGAGCAGTGCTCTTTACTCAGGGGACTTCCCAGACAGCCAGCCACCTGTCCAGGTGGAGGGCTTCAAGGGAGGGCCAGTGCCCGGCCCGGGGCGTGGGGCTCAGATCAGCCCACTGCAGAGAATCACTCTGGGGCTTCAACTTCCTTTCTTCCTTTAGGGCCAGTCTGGGCCGCAGTCTGCTCTCCGCATGGAGCTGGCCAGACAAGACCGTTTGCCTTTTGATGTTTCCTAGCCCTGCTAAGAGATGAGCTTCCTCGTTGGTTTCCTTCTGGAAACATCCTTCCAACAGGTGTAGTGGGATCCCGGGGCCCAGCACAGGCCAGTGTTGGCCTGCCAGGGCTGGTTGAAGAGTTACTGGATCTTCCATTATTCCTCTGTCCCTTGACGCCTTAACCCTGTTTCCCTCCCTTCTGTACCCTCTTTCCTACCTGTACCCCCCCCCCCCAAGCCTCCAGGTAGTTCTGAAGAGTTTTGATGGAGTGGCCCCAGGGTGATAGATAGCTCAGGGAACAAAGGAATTCCGTGAAAACAGTTGTTTTGTTTTGTTTCTTTCTTTTACGAAATTACTCTTGGGTCACTTCCGCCACTGGTAAAGCCAGAACTTCTCCAACCGGAACCTTGCAAAAGTCCAGTGAACCAGTCGAATCATTCTGAGAATGCCAAAGAATCTTTTGACCATAATACACAGCACAGCCCGGACCTGACAACTGTCAACTTGAACTTCGTTTTCAAAGGAGTTGGTTAGCAGCAAAGTTCTGAGATTTGGATATTGCACACACCCACAGAGAAGGGCCCAAGGCCTCCGAGGAGGCTGCCGCTGCTGCTGCTGCTGTTGGTTTACGGTCCCTGGGCTAGGCTGCTGTGAGCGTGGTCCTAAACTCTGAGGACTCCTCCACTTCCGGGGGAGAACACTGACTGTGAATCCAGCGTGGTTCCCCCATCGCCACCACACAGATACACAAAGAGCAGATACGCGGGACTCTCTCCCACCTTCACTCCGAAACTATCAAGGTACGACAGTGAGCTTGAGCGAAATCGGAAGCAAACAAGACAATTTCAGTTTTGGTGGCTTGGACAAACACGTCTAAGCCAAATGGACTCCAAGGGTGGGGGCAGGTCTCCAAGGATCCTGAGCATCAGGATGGCATCAGCTACCAGATAGACTTAGTCCGCCTGCCTGTCTTGGTCATAGTGACAGCTCAGTGTCAGTGTCAACACCCCCACCCTGGTCTCTTGTTTACTGCCTTTGAACAGACCTTCCCTACCCCTGTGCTTTGGGTCGCAACAGGTCACAACCTTGTCTGCTGGATTGCCTGGTGGTCTGACCTGCGGGACACAGAGGGCATGGGGGCTTAAAGAACAACCAAATGCTGCAGGGTGAGGGAGGGGACGGCCCTGACCAGTCTGTCCCACCCCGGGCCAGGGGCTGGGCTCTAAGGGGAGACATTAGTGATGGGTGGAGTAAACCGCCTTCTGGGCTGCTGGCATTCTTCCACCGGGGCCTGGACTGGGCAGGCAAGCGGGGAGAGCTTCAGAGAGCCTCTGCTGCTTCTGGCCTCTGGGTTCTATGCCTCTCGGCAGCTGGCTTCCGCTTTGGACTCTGTGTGTCCACCAGGCCCTGCCTGCCACAAAGCCCCCACCCCCCGTTGGCTGTTACAATGGCTGGTTAACAGACCCCTTCACCAGGCCAAGCCCCACACAGTCTTCATCCGGCAGCTGTCCCCACTTCTGAAGTGTCCATCAGGCTTCAAGGAGGACAAGGCTCCCCCAGAGCCTTGCTCCTTGGTTCCTCCCAGGCCACACTGTCCATCGTGTGGATGGCTTTGCCACACACTACGACCAAGGCACCTTTTCCAGGCCAGAGACGGTTCCCATTCTTGTCCACATCCACTCCCCACCAGAAAGGACCCTGTAACTCATTCTGGCTCTTGTACCCCATCCCATTAGTCTCCTGGCTGCCTTCCACCTCATCCCCTCTCATCACAGGACACAGGCTAATGTGCAAGGAAAGTATTTTTGTGTATCATAAGTGTATTTTGAAACAAGTAAAGAAAAGAAAGATAGAACGCTCGTTTACTTTATTAAATGGGCTCTGACTTGGTGAGTGACGTGAGAGTCTTTGCAATGTAAGGACCTCAGGTTTGTTGGAGAAGACAGCCACCCAGGTTCCCAGGCAAAGGTGTTGGACTGTGTGTGTGTGTGTGTGTGTGTGTGTGTGTGTGTGTACAGCAGAGCATCGTGCACGTGTGTGGCAGTGCACGGATACCCTATGGGACTTGCTGGGGTTTCTAGAGCTTCAACTGCCTGATTCTTCAGGAACGTTGGCAGCAGGTTAGACTTCGGGTTTCCTCGCCATTGCCACCTACGGCCAACCTGTGCCCATGCCTGAAGCCCTGCGGAATAATATGTGATGCCTGCAGTAAGGTCCTTGAGGAGGCCACCCTCCCATGTCCTTGGCCCAGCTGGCCACATTGGCCGAAGAGCCAGAGGTTTTGGAGTCGGGGACCTTTGGTCGTTCTTTAAGCCACTTCCTGCTGCCTTCCCTAGAGGATGTGCGCTCGTGCGCCACCCAAATCACACGAGGGATGGCGGTGGGGAGGGTGATATGAATGTCACAGGAGGAGACACCTTCTGTCTTTGTTTCAAAGAAAGTGATGTGCCATTTGTTAATATACAAGAGAAATATTGAAAATATATTGAAAAGAGCAATTTTAAATTATTTTTGGCTTATGTTGCAATATTTATTTTCTTGTATTAGAGAAGATTTCTTTGTAGAGAAAAATGTATTTTTCATTACCGCAAAGACCTATTTCTCCTTTTTGTACATTGTCCTCGTTCGCAACCCTTAACGAGCAATAGAATGTCCGGCCACGCCCGCCCGCGTGGCCACTGCCCACTGTGCCCTGCATGATTGTGCTGCTGCTGCTGCTGCTGCTGCTGCTGCCTAGTTTCCAGCCCCGTCCTGTCCTGCTCACTCACTGGGGCTGTTTCTAAGGAGCCCACTGCACTCCTCGTGTGTTGGCAAATTCAGTTAATAAAGCAATGTTTTCTGTGCTGACTGCTGTGAGGTTCTGTTGCACAGGGGGTGGGGAGGGGTGTCGTTGGACACTGGGGAATCCCATTGCAGGCCTACAGCAATGGGCTTAGCAGGAGTCCCGAGTTCCAGTAGTGCATGCAGACATTCAGATTCAGTGCACGGCACCGGCTGTGCCTGAAGGGGAGTGTCTTTATTTTGGTTTTTCGAGACAGGGTTTCTCTGTGTAGCCAAGGCTGCCCTGGACTCACTTTGTAGACCAGGCTGGCCTCGAACTCACAGCGATCCGCCTGCCTCTGCCTCCCTGGGTCCTGGGATCACAGTGTGCCACCTGCTCTGCTTGGGGAGTGTCTTTAATCTTCAGTGTTAGCCCCTGGCATTCAGGGTCAGGGATGAGGGTGACAGTAAATCACACCTCCAGTTAGAGGTAAAGTGCCACATCAAAGGGAGGGCCACTGGGTCCTGATGCCACCTGCTGGAAAGGATAGGAGGGCCTTCTCCAGAAATCAACGGAGAATTCCACCGTTAGTTTCATCATTGCTCAGCACCTGCTCCTTGCCGTGCTCTGGGGAGGGCTTCTGGCGCTGGCTCAGTGTTCACGTTCCAGTGGGGACACAGCACAGGGAGGGGACCTCTGAGGAGGCCCCTTCCTGTAGTCGTCTGTTGACCACATACTGCTGAGGTGATGTGCCCACCCAGCCTCCCAGTGTAGACCCAAAGAACCAGTAAGTGTGGCACACGCTTGTGAGGGGGAGGCGGGAAGATTCGTAGTTCATCCTCTCAATACATAGCAAAGTTTGGGGGATGCTGGGAGTTGGGTAGTTATCGTCTGAGCTCAGTCCCCAAAAACCTGTTTAAAAAGATGGGCCTGGGATACCTGTAATCCTGAGTACAGTTGCCCGCTGACGTCACGTGTGCTGCATAGTTGGACACACACAACTTGTGTAAATTAAAAAATCCCAACCTCGAGATGATGTGAGGTAATATAATAGTAAGATGAAGTGAATTCTCTATTTCTGGGATTTATGGGTTATGGTAAGCCACAGGTAACACGCAGCAGAATTGCCATGGGCTGGGCACCCTAGCTCTGTGGGCAGAGTGCATGCTCAAAGCCCCAGGTTCCATCGTTCCTACCACTGCCTGGGATGTGGGGAGACACGGTAGATCCACGGCAACATATGAGTGGAGCCTTGCAGCAGCTGCCTGTGTCTGGCCCCTCATCACGGAGCATAGGGCTCGCAAGGGTCGTCACGTGTAAGGATTCTCTGTAAAGCTTTCCGGTCCCTCAGGGACGGGGTCTCATGGAACCCATACAGCTGACTGGAACTCTGTACGGTTGAAGATGACTTTGAATACGACACCCTGCTTCTCCCTCCTCAGGGCTGAGATTACAGTGTGACTAACACACCTAGTCAGTGCTGACTCAGTTGCCATCGTGTGGGCCCACTGGGGAGTGGTGGGCCTAGGCGAAGACTATTGGGTCCCTGGGGACACGCCCCTGAAGGGAGTATAGAGACGGTCCTTTCCATGTTTCTTTGCTTCCCTGGTCACAAGATGAGGCTCTGCCATGCCCGCCATTTGTCCCCATGATGCCCTGCTCCACAGGCCCAAGAGCAACAGAGCTGGCCAGACTGAAACTTCTGAAACCATGAGTCAAATAAGCCATCTGTCTCGGGGGTGTCCTCACAATGACAGAAAGCTGAGTAGCGTATGATGGACAGTATTTTCCTCTTTTAAGACAAGATTTAGTTATGTAGTCTGGGTTGGCATCAATCCCACAAACCTCTCCTCAGTCTCCTTAGTATCTGGGATTATAGGCACAAGCCGCAGTATCTGGATCATGTGAGATATTCAGAATATCCAAAATTTCAGAGACAGGAGTTGGGTGGTGATTGCCAGGGACTGGGAGAAGAGGGGGAGGGGTTGTTGGGTGGGCATAGTGATGGGAAGTAGGCAGGGTTCAGGGGAGCTGGTGCTGGTAGGTGTGGAGATGGTTAAGAATACTGTACTGCACTTGGAAACCACTGGGTTCCTTCTCTTGTTCTACACGTGATGTTAGCCAAAAGACCAGGAAGTGACTGTTTTCTATTATTTGTCTCAATCCCAGAATTGTCACAGTTCTGTAAAAACAGTAAAATGTAGGGGCTGGGGAGATGTCTCAGCAGTTCAGAGCACTGACTGCTCTTCCTGAGAACCTGGGTGGTTATCAGCTCCCACACAGATGCTCGCAACCATCTGTAACTTCAGTCCCAGGGCGTCTGATGCCCTCTTCTGGCCGTGGTGGGCTCTGCATGCAGATGGTGTTCCAGAGCACGCAGAGACGACACCATACACCTAAACTAAAAATGCAAAAAAAAAAAAAAAATTTAATCATATGAAAATCTAATCACACGTCATAAGGAAGAAGCACTCTGCTGCTTCAAATGCCACACAAATGCTTTGCTGCAGTGACACAACGCCAATATTTGAAAAAGGGAAACCCCAGTCATCGGGCTGGAGAGGTGGCTCATCCGTCAAGACTGTTTGCTGAGCTTGCCGAGGACCCAAGGTCAGTCCCCAGCCTGTGTCTGATGGCTCACAACCGCCTATAACTCCAGCTCGAAGGGATGTGGCACCCTCCCTCCTCTGACCCCCACAGAGAGACATATAAATACAAAGAGGTGGTTTTGTTCTTTATTTCTTTTTCTTTCTCTATATCGCCCTGGCTGTCCTAGAACCCACTATGTAGACCAGGCTGGCCTCAAACTTACAGAGGTCTGCGTGCCTCTGCCTCTGCCTCTTGCGTGCTGGGATTAAAGGTTTGAGTCACCATGCCCAACCAAAAAGAAATATATATATTTTAAATTTGTCGTTCCCTGTACACTGGCAACCCCCTTAAGGTCTTCCACCTTGACCTCCAGGCTCCCTTTTCACCACGAACCCCATATCCATCTACCTGGCTTTCTTCACAGTGCTTTAGGACAATACTTCTGACCCAGGAGTGAGAAGCTCTTCAAGTTCCAGCCCCTAAGGCAGACCTCATCCTCAGGAAGATGAGGCAGCTTTGTTACTGCCCTAGGGCTGGGAAGAGGCACCATAAGGATGGCAACTTATAAAAGGAAACATTGAATTTGTGCCTTGCTTACAGTTTCACAGGATTAGCCCATGATCATTAGTAATTGGGGACCAAGCATTTAAATATATGAGCCTATGGGGACCACTCTCATTCAAACCACCATAGGAGGTGAGAGCTTTCCAATTTATTTTTAGGTGTGTGTGTGTGTGTGTGTGTGTGTGTGTGTGTGTGTGTGTGTGCGCGTGTGTGTTGCCTGCATGTCAATATGAACATCACACACACCCTTGATGCCCGCAGAGGCCAGAAGGGGGCATCAGAACTCCTGGAACATGATTTACGGAAGATTGCCATCTACCTTGTTCTACGAGAGAACAAAATACTCTTCTGACCTCTGAGCCAACTCTCCAGGACCTCTAGAAGGATTTTAAACCTCACGGCAGTCAGATGAGGTGGCTGGCTGGCAGATGGAGCTAGGTGAACCTCCAAACTAGACTCGGGCAGAAAATAAAGTCGGGGGGTGGGGGTGGAATTTAATCCCATGCAGGCTGGGTCTTTGCCCAATCAAAACACGACCTGGATCCTGACTCAAGTGTTGCTGAGTGAGAAGGCCATTGAAAGCACAGGATCCATTGGGAGAAGCGATTGGGCGGTGAAACTCTCGCCAGGTCTGGAGTCTCTCTGTGCAAATGAGCCGTAGAATACTTGCCTAACATGCATGACACTCAGGAGTCCATCCTCGACATTGGTGGGGGTGAGGATGGGGGCACGGGGGAGAGTGAAGGGAATGAAGCCGACCGAAAGACTGAGGATCCGACAACTGACAGAACATAGGAAGCTCTGGCTTCCAGACCCAGCACTTCGGTGGAGGTGTGGGGGTGGAGGCAGGAGGACCACAGATAATTTATAAATAAAGCAAGCAAGCCAGTGCTCTGACAGTGTGGCTGTCAGAGGGAAGGGGGCCCAGGGGTCCTAAAAGGTTGACATCTATAAAGCCTGGACCTCTCTGGCAGCTTTTGAGACCTATGTTCTGAGCGGCATCCATTCCAAGGCGGGCTTCTGCTGTGTTCACAAGTTTGTATCAGCAGGCAGCCCCCCCCCCAATTCTTCCCTCCCTCCTTCCACCAAACAACATGTGGCCACCAGAGTGCAGAATATGCGTTTGAACACACCGTGAGAGGAAAATGTGAACCTCCAGTGTGGACACACTAGAAAGAGACTCCTGTGGGCCTTGAGCTCCTGGAGAAATACGGGCCTGCCCTCTGGCCCTTTTGAGCTGGCGTTTCTTCGTTTGGTAAATGCCTACCTGGGCCATTTACACCAAGAGGCCACCTAGATGTGGATTCAAGGTCACTGAGATGGAGTGTTGGGGGTCAAAGTTTATCAGAAGAGTTAATTAATGCCACAGACAGACAACAGCACTACGGACAGACAGCAGGGTGAGAGCTCTGAAGAGAGACTCCAGGTCTGCATAGCAGAAGTGGGGCTGGGGTTTGGGGCTTCTTCTCCTTCTTCTGGGCGTGGGAGTGCTTCTGCAGCAAGAATCTTCAGGCTCCCATGCCGGGGCAGGGAAGGGTTGGAGAACAGGATATGTGGTCAACAACACTCCCTTCGATGTAAGCTCACCCGTTGACTGGGTGTCAACGGGTGCCTGAAGTCTGTTAGCTAGAAATGGTGAATGCGAGAAGAGAATGGTTGCCGCTGCATTCTAACATCAAATTCTTTTGGGAAAAAAAATGTATCTGTTTTATTTTTGATCATATGTATGTGTCTCCTTGTGGGTATTCACACATACACTCTGAGTTCTCAGGGTTTCAGATCATCCAGAGCAGGAGTTACAAGCAGTTAGTTGTAAACTGCCCAAAGTGAATGCTGGGATCCAACTGCTCCTCTACGAGAGCACAACAAGCCATCTTTCCAGCCCCTTTAGTATTACGTTCTTACAAAGTACACAAAATGACGATGCTCCAAA